GGGGGGCATGAGCCACAGCAAGCAGCAGTCGTGGCCTGAATGGTTTGCATGAGGAACCAGCCCTGACATAGTTTCAGTGTTTTGTTCCACCTGGAAGTGTGTGAAGTGACCATGTGTTTCCCTCCTGCAGACCCTCCCACCATCACAGAGTCCAAGAGCAATGAAGCGGCCACGGGACGACAAGCCTTACTCCGGTGCGAGGCATCAGCAGTGCCCACGCCTGATTTCGAGTGGTACAGAGATGATACCAGGTAAGACCCTTAGCTTACCTCTTCTCTCCTTTTCAGTCCACTCAACAGAGGATCCTTAAAGAATCACCTATTATCCTCCCCAACTCTTCTCCTCAAACAAATTACTCTTCACAAACCACATGAGTCACGATGGTGCCATCAGACTCGGCAGAGCCAGCATGGCCAGGGCTGGAGGAGGCAATCCCTCTCTGTGCTGGGGATGCTGAAGGAAGCGCAGAGGATGGAGCTCTTGCCTTTAAGTCAGTTATGGGCCAATACACAATTAAGGCATCAATAGTGCTGTCTTCCTGATGATGTTCATGCATTAAATAGCCCATGATACAGACAAAAAAATAGGCAGTGTTAGTCTCCAAGTAGGTAATGCTACTCTAGGTGCCTTAATCTAGGGGAAGGAGCTGCTGAGGTGTAAGATTCCCCACATCTGTGTGACCTGAGCCACCCAGATTTGCATACGAGAGAAAATGAGAAGAGAAAAGGGATCTGTCTCTTATACCTGAGCATTTACCTGGCATTAAGAAGGTTGTGTTATTACCCTAGTTTTTAACCTGACCCATGTGCACAGGCTCAGGGTGGCTCAGCTTTGGTATAAGCACATATTGGAACATATGAATTGGTGTGTTTCACTAAAAAACTTTTGTTCAAGTACGGACTAGCCCTCAGCTGGCCATGGTGTGTTCATTTCCAAGTGTTAGTCAGTGCTGGGTAAAGGTTTCCTCCCTTTCCCTCGGTTTTTCTTGCTTCTATACTGCTTTACTGGTGGCATTTCACCCCCCTGCGCTCCTTTTTCCTTTCATTCCCTCCTCCTGCTTTCCATCAATGCCTTCTTTGGTCTCTTTCTTCTCACGTCTCCTTCTTGCCTCCCTCCATCCCCACCTGCCAGCCAGGCTGAATGACTTTGCTTTACTGCCTGCCGGGCAGTGATTTCTTTCCCAATACGCAACTGCCATTGCACTGCACACCTCTTCTCCTGTCTTCCCAGGATAAACAGCGCCAATGGTCTGGAGATAAAGAGCACGGGGAGCCAGTCTCTGCTGATGGTGGCCAATGTCACTGAGGAACACTACGGGAACTACACCTGCGTGGCTGCCAACAAGCTGGGAGTCACAAACGCCAGCCTATACCTTTACAGTAAGTATGGGAGAGGGTGAAGGGAGGTCCAGATCGCTCTCACAAAGACCAGGCTATGTAGGAAGCACACGGTGACCAAAACTCAGGAAAGCATCCGCTTGCCACCCCCACCCCCTCAAATCTCCAGCCATGAACTGGGTTTCAGCGCTCTGCTTCAGATACCTATGTGTTCATACTTGCCGTGAGACACAAACACAGCTGAATTAAAAGGTTTACAGTCAAGCCCTTTGACTGACTTTCTTTGCTGAAGTCAGATTTTGTTCAAATAATAAAAACATGTTTGTTTTAAAGCTTGAAACAAAAAACCTTTAGAATGACAGCCCCTTTAATAAGGAGACAGAAGGCCAGGGCTCGGAGGGTCCGTGACAGCTGAGAAATGACAAGTAATTCAGAGAGATGGAGAGAACTAGCCACTGAGCCTGAGGAGAACAAGAGAGAGTCAAGAAAAAGAGAAATTAGTTTGAAAATGGAACGGAAAGAAGTGGGAAAAGACAGAATGATTTAAAGGGGCATACCATAGGGAACATGGGGGAAAAGGTAATCAGCAGATGAAATATGGCATAAAATTCCTTGGATCTCATTCTGCTACCTCTCAGTTACTGAGTTTGTCGTAGTAAGCGTAAAGAGACAGAAGTTGGGACAAGACCAAACTCCAGAGCAGAGTTACCTGCTGGTTCTGAACTTTGCAGCTGATTCAAACCTGACCCTAAACAGAGCCCCTGCCCCTCACCTACCACCCACGCACACGTACAAACTGTGGCGTATTCAAAACACAGTTCCCAATTCCAAGTCCAAAACTTGGGCTCGGCTTGGACCATGTGTTATTGCCACCAGAAACAGACCACAGCAGAATGACCCACTCACATGAATGGACACATAGATGCGAAAGTGGCTTAGGGCTGTATTCCTCTGACAGTCCCAAACTGAATTAAAACACCCAGGCCATGACCTGCATGTCCTTTTAAACAGAAAAAAGATAAGCTGTGTAAAGCAGTCTTAGTATGGGACGCAGTTTCGTATAGTTTTTGCTGTGCATGGTCAGATTAATCAAACCGTCAGAAAAACAATGTTTTGGTTTGGTTATTTTTTAATAGATGTAGTGCAAAAGGATAAATCCATTGGCATTCTTTGTTTGCCACCTCTGGATTTATTTCATGGCAGTTTGAATTTGTGCAAAATTTGGGGGTACTCTGTGGAAGATTTTTTCTAAAGAGCAGATATTATCATAAAAGAACATATATTTGATTTCCTGTAGCATTGCAGCACACGAAGCAAATTTCTACTTTGAAAGTCTTTTCACCCTGGTCTTGTGACTGTCATGAGATTCAAATAAATCCTCAGGCAGCAATCTGGAACACAATTTTCAAATACTCCAGATTTGTTCTTGCTGATATTAATATAATGCTAAGTTTAGAATCCATTATTTGTGGCTGAATTCTAAATTTGGCCCTCTCTGTTGGTTCCTGTTACACAGATGAGCTGAAATGCATCACTGAAACAAAATATAAGATGAAATTCAATAATGTATGTATGCACACGTGATTTTAGCTGGGGGGGGTTGGTTTTGCTAGAAAAGCATTTTGCATGACTTCACAACTTCACCTCAAAGGATCTCAAAGGATTTGCTAGCAATGAATATTTTAACATCACAAGTTACTTAGAAATGGGTGAATTTTATTAGCACCATTTTGCAGTAGGCAACTCAGGTACAGAGTGAAGAAGTGCTTTACCCATGGTCATAAAATGAGTGGCAGAAGCTGTGAGAGATCCAGGGACATCTTGCGAAGTTGCTGTTAACCATTCCAGGAGGAAATGTGGCAACTATTAAAGCTGACTTGCAACAGTGAGGGTCCTATTGTAGCCTCCTTTTGATGCGTATGAAGATAACTTTCCTTCTTTCAAGTTGTTGGATTTTGTTTATCATTTTTACCTTAGAAATTCAAGGCCTATTTATGCTGGAAAACACTAGAGAACTTCACAAGAGCAAGAAGAATGGAGGTGCAGGAGCTGAGAGAGATTTGATGATTTTCAGTGGACTGTTTCTAACTTTCATTTTTGTTGCTTAGTTAATCCCTGTTTTTTTCAGTGTGCGATTGCTTCATATTGTTTCAGGAAATATCTGTTCTCCCGTTAGTGTGGAAGAGAGAGAGAGAAACAAAATAAATTCAGGCAGACTACAGCTGGTATTTCTAAGGTTAAGAAATCAGGGGGGAAATGAGTGAAGGGAATCCAGCCTCATAAAGATAAAGAAAGCAGCTGAAAAAACCTACAAGCGCAGATGAAAAAAATGCTCTAGTGATCACACAGTAGCTGAAATAACAGGTAATGCACACTCCCAGCCACACACCCAGGCAGAAAAATAAAGCAGTGCCAAGTTTTTGCAAGGTACAACAGATACTCAAATAGTTGGGAGTGTTTTTCATCCCTAGAATCAGAGGTTTTGTTTCTTTTTTAAATGGAGAACAAGCTCACTGTAGGGCAACATCCCACTAGGGAGGCAGATACAGTGATGGTTCCTCAGTGTCCCATTGCAGCACAAAAGAGAATGGCAGCCAGGAGTGAAGAAACAACCAGAGAGTTAATCATAAGGTACTGCTTTGCCTGAGGTGGAGGGCAGAAGGGGAGCTAGCAAAATGATGTGAAAGAACACTTTAGCAATAGAGAAAAATGGGTGACTACCATTTCAGGAAATCTCAGCCAGCATTGAAAAACTCTCGGAGAGACCGAGTGCCTTAGATGTCAATGCCATAGATAGAAGATGCATTAAAATACAAAAGCAGCTCCCTTGAGCTGTATGAATAGCTAGCTAGTGATCTTCCTTAAAGGATGTAGCAGCAGGATTGGCTGCTGTAGGTGGAGAGATTTATACCCCTCGCTCCTGGAGACTGAGTTTACAACAACATAAAAAAGGCCATACCAAAGGTCTGTCTTACCTAGGAACCTGTCTCCAACAGCAATATGGAATATGTTTGCAGAGAGGGTACTCAGGTACAGTTTGATGATACAACTGATCTAATAGCTTGCTGCCATCCCTTCCTCCCCACTCCTTTTGCTCACCCTGCTCCCTGCCACATGCTTTTGTTGTTTCCCTTATTCTGGTACTCAGTGGACAACCCACTGAGCCAGTTCAACCTGCTAAGCCAGTGAAAAAGTAAGCAAGCTTTACTGCCCACCCCTCCAAAAAGCCCCCAAATGTTTTCTTTTGTTGTACTGAGCTGAATTACTTCATGGAAGGGCTCAATAAGCACCAGAGCCCTTGCAAGAGGGGAAACCATATCACACATCTATGGATATGAGGAGTTGAAGCAGTGCCACAACCGAAGGAAAAGGGGTTTTTTCATAAGTGTATTAGGAGGGACAAAATAAGTTTTCTTTTCATTCCACTCAGCTGACAAAGTGCTATGAAAAGCATTATGAGTAAAAGTCACAATTTGTATCTTAACCCATGCTACACAGAAGTGTAAATATGTACATATATATACACCAGATAGATACACATCTGCTATACAAGCATATAGATACATAGGTTTACATGTACATATGTATAGATACGTACGCACCTGTGTGAGGTATAAGCAAGCACACACACCCCCACAGGCACACAGAAGCAGGCACAGCACCTGGTGCATTCTAGCAAGGCAGAGAAAAGAAATGAAACCTTTTCCAAATTAGTTGACTTCTGCCTCCCGCAGAGCTAGCCCATCCCAGAGGATAAAACAGGAGACAACAGGGCAGTGCCGCACATCCTTATGCAGTCCTGCTGGCTAAATTGTCTCAATTATAGGAGATTGCCACCTCAGCAGGTCCCCCGCTGCATCCTCTGCAGCTTGCGTCCTCTGCACCCTTCAGGGAGTAAGGAAACACGGAGGTGAAGCAGCATCTGGCGAGGCCCGTGCCAATTAGAAGCAGCAGCAGACAGGATCCCACCCCTGCCTCCTCGAGAGGCTTCAGGTAGAGTTATCATTTCAGTCCAGCAGTTTTGATCCCAGCAAGAGGCACGTTCCTAAGAAGAGCTGGCGCTTGCCTCTAACTTGTCATGATTTGTTAGTGCCCCGGCACAAGTGCTGCCTGTGTGCACACGCTTACACCCCTTCTCCTAACTCTCTGCCCACGCTTTGTTGCACCTGAGCATTTGCTTATGGTGGTTGCTGCTAGGGTTTGGAGCGTAATTGTGGCCAAAATCTCTCTTAGTGGCTCTTAGTGCAAACCCTGTGTTTTCCCAGGGGCTGTCAATAACGGGGAGACTCAGGAGAGGAGGAAAGTGGTTAGGGTGACAGCCAGATGGGGCAAGGCTGAGACACTGCTAATGAGCCAGGGTGGAGCAATAAAGGCAGCAGGCAGCGGGCGAGGGGAACAGAGGTAGAGTCCTTGAATAGAAAGCAGCATGATAATGAGGCCGTAGTGCTTTGGTTTAACTGCTTGTGCTGTGCAGTCTGCAGCCTGCTGTGCAGGAAGAAGGTAAAGGGGAGTTGAGTTATTTAACCAAACTAAATAACAAGGAAGTCATGTCAGCACAACAGCCTGCTTTCACAGAACAATAGTCCCCCGTTGCTACCTAAACACAGAGATCCAGGCTAGCCGTGTATTTTCTACACAAGAGACAATCTCCCCTGTGCCTGCTGTGGATTCAGACAGCTCCATTACCACCGTGAGGGCAGGAGATCTGCCAGTGTCACAGGGATGGGCCTGACCTGCTACATCCTCGTGGCCTCCAGCGAGTCAGAAACTGGCTCCTTACACCAAGGGTGCTGTCTGTATAATTGGCATTGGCCGCCAAATAGGTGGGCCTGGGTTGATCAGAGAATATAGCAGACTACCGATGTATCCTGCCAAGCTCTATGTCCGTCAGCACTGATCTTAACACTGTCCTCACAGGTAAACCAGGAGACAACTCATTGCTCCAGGCCTATCAGCTGTTGCATAGTGGCATATCTCTACAGCTAAATGTCTACCTACCCATCAGTCCCTGGGTAGGAACTTGTCTCAGTCAGTATGAGGCATCCAGCAAGCTCTGAAGGTAATGAAGGGAGACCCAGTGATCAGAGTCAGGCCTGGGGGGTTTGTATTCTTGGTTCTGCTCCCGGCTCTGCCAACAGTTCAGCATTTGACCTTGGGTAAATTGCTTCCTTGCTCTGTGCATCAACTGCACAACCTGTAAAACAGAATTAATGCTATTGGTAGCCTCAGACGGAGGTCTTTGACACCGGTTTCCCTCAGTGTCTGTGCAACTCTTTGAGATCCTTGTGTGGAAGAAGCAAAGTGTGAAGCCAGCAGTGACATATAACAAAGTCCTGCTGTGATGTATAACAAGGACGCATTGTAAAAACCCTATAACCAAAACAGCAGGCTCTGCATACAACTAGAGGTTGATGAGTCTGCAAAAACTCTGTTCCCATCGGGAGACAAAGGCTCAAAAGAAATAAGAGTGCCCTTGAGGATTCGCTAGGGTGACTGCTCCCATGCTCAGATCCTCAGCGGACCTGTCACTGGCAAGAAATCCATTGTGGAGAAGGTTCTGGGGAGGCAGCAACTACCCGTGGAGGACTTCCACAACTCACCTCTCTGCCAAGACTAGGTTCCAGCCAGAGGTGTAGCTAAGAGGAGCTGTAGTGTGATGACATGAGTGGTCTTGAAAGTCAGAGGGGAGATGTGGCCCATCAACTCCAATTACCTTCCCTGCAGGTGCTTAATCCCTCTTGCTGTGTGGATATTATTTGTTTAGTTTTTCAAATGACTTCTCTCTGACTCCCAGTCCCAGGGGATGTTGATGTGTATTAGGCGTGTTGCTAGCAAAATGCTCCGTATATGAAACCTACTCTAGTTCATCTAATTTGGGGATGGACAACTCCATCAGGTTTGTATCTGCTGCTTGCTTGGTGTGAAAAGTGGCTTGTCCGTTTCTCCTGCATGTTGCTTATTGTTTTTTTTCCCCCCTTAGAACGAGTTTTACCCACACTCCCCAATCCTTTTCCAGGTCAGTATATGTTTTATGTTGAAGTAGCTCTTTAGCCGGGTCATTCTCCATCATCCTGATAAATGCTCAGAGCTAGGGATGGGCAAAACAGTTCAGAAATACAGGAAAATAAGGGTTTTCCCTTCTTGTCTACATGTCATTTGGTCCCTCCTGCTCACCTTCTTCATCCTTCCCCTTCCCTCCTCCCTTTTCAGAAACGAATCAACTAAACAGCAACAACCTTTAGCCAAGCTTTGACTATGGTGTTGTGTCCTCACCCGGGTCTAGACAGTCTTCAGTGAGGTTCAATTTGTCTGCAGACCTACTCCTAATACATATTCCAGTCTAAGCTGTCTTTGACCACATGTTCTGATTTGGACCAAAAGCATAGGCAGACCTAAAATTTTGCAGAGATGGTGGAAGGGACAAGTGAGAAGCTAAAAATTACATTGCTGCCAGGAGGTTTTTCACTCTAGTTGTGCAAACTATTCATGGTGAAACGCTTTGTTTTCTCATTCCTCTGTCACACCCCCCCCAAGTCTGCCAGTCACATAGTGCTGCATTTGAGGCAGAGAGCATGAAAAGAGGTGCACAGGGAGGTGCTACTGTCTGCTTTATTCCAAGGGAAGAAGGTATGAAGGCAGCGCAGCCCCAATGTCCACACGAGATTTGGGGTTTGGATGCAACCTTGAGATTCTGAAAAATCGCAGAGACTGGGCACTTCCAGAAAGCAGGCTACAGCGTTTGAAAGCAGTGTTTGAAACTAAATCAACAATAAGGCAGCCAGTTCCTGTATTCACTTAAAAAATCTTGGCCTAGGGCTCCTTAGTAGTTTTGTTTTACTGCCATATGATGAAGATGCGCTCAACTCCTGGGATGTTCAGAGGCCTAAATAGTTAATGTCTGTGCAGAGCTTTGGCGTAGAGTGTTATTAGGAACCCATGTTGGTTTGTTTTGCAAAAGGGCACCTGCCCAAGTAAAGCACCTGCAGGTACTCCCATGAAAAGAACAATAAATGCTGGGTGTTACACCAGCTCCCTTTAACTACTCTGCTGTTTTCAAATCAAGCTATGCTCTTGGCAACTAATTCAGGCTCAGGATGTAGTCACAATTGCCTATTTAAAAGGCAAATCCACAAATACAATTAAAGAAAAGTACCTACAAAAAAAAGAGGGGGAGGTGTGGAGAAATCAAGCTACCATTAAAATTAAATCCCAGATAGTGATTTGTAAATAACATTCAAGGAGCTGAGAAAAGGAGTGAAGTAGGCCATTGGGAACCTAGTGTGGAAAAATAAATCCAATTAAACACCATTATCGTATGTATTGCAAATGAAACTTGTGCTTGGATATGAAATTAAAGTTGCTGAGGCTGTTTGGGATGTAAGGTTTTGAGTTTTCCAATTTTGGGTGTTCTTCTTTTAAGCAGAATTTTCAATGACAAATATTTTTGTCTGATGGAAAACCCAGGGCTCTTTCTTTTTATGATTATTTTTATTATATATCCTTAAATTCCACAAGCAGGCAGTGTTAATTTTTTTCATAGCCAGTACTGTTTACAGCTGGTTTTGAATTAGTAGGCCATTAAGCTAAATGATAAAGCAAAAACTGCAAGTGAGCAAGGCCAGGATTTCCATACCAAATACCCCTCCTAATCAAGCTGCCAAGGCCATCCTGTACAGCTTTAGTCAATCCTTTAAAACACTTCCCCCTCTGTCTTTGAAGTTGTTATTTTTTTCCTTTTACTGCTCCCCAGTCTCCTGAGATCATCTCGAAGGACATCCTGGTGTGACATCACTTCTGTGAGGAGTCTCCAGGAATTTGTGGTGCCAAATGCTGGGATACTTCCCGTGACCCAGGACATGCAAAGAGGATTTTGCAGAGGGGGAAAGTAGAGTTTAAATCCTCTGGAGCTCATTTGTTTTCTGAAAGCCCCTGCCAGCTTCTCCAATGTGGGCGTTCAGCACAGATATCGGCGCTTATCTCAACATTTGCTTTTATTTTGCTGTTCACCTTCAAAGAAACCTTAGGCATAAAATTCTCTTGTTAGACCTTTTTCTGCCTATGAGTTGATGTTCTGAGATGCAGTTCTCAGCTCTCAAATAAGCCTCTCCTCAATAACCAGAATCACAGCCTCCTCCCTCTTTCTCGTTCAATTTCCATTTCTCCTAAGCCTTGGTAACACTTCCCTGCCCTGTGGGGTTTTAAGCATTAATTTAAAAGGAAGGTGTTCTGAGATGAAGAGCACTGTAGTCATGCTAAGCATTGCTATCGTTAGCTAGCTGCTGTGGAAAGATCTTGCCTTCAGGCAGGCTGGAGACTCAGAAGCAGCCCATTCAGCTAAACACATAGGACTTGAATTTGATGAGGCACTTTCCTAAAAGGCTGGTGGAGCCCAGCTGATTCAGCTCTCAACACAATTGTCCCTGGTTAATTTTCCAGCCCTCCTGATTTTGCAACTGGGCACTCAAAATGCCATAAAATGTCTTCTGGGATGATGCCGCATCTTTGCATCTACCTGTCTGCATTGTAACATCACATTATAATGGGATGACACAAGACCTGGCTGTCACAAAGGAGGCCTTACTGCATCATCAGGTGGCTTTTCAAAAGAATTTTCTTCTGGAAAAGGAGAATTTGCTCATTCCACACCACACCTGCCAATGACAGGGCAAGGGAGATCACTGTTGAACCTCAAAGGGGTCTGTCACGACTAGGGTGCTAGCTCCACCTCTGTCCTCCATTGTCTCTTGCCCTCAGCCCTTTGAACATAGACTCCCTCCCCCGTGATTAGCACCTAGTGTCCACATCAGAATGGCTTAGCCAGACCGATGGGCTTCAAAACCCAGTCTCAGTCTTCTCAGGAGATTTGTGATGAGGGCTTACCACAGATTAACCAGGGGCTTTCTCAGCATGGTTAGCTTGAATGCCCTGGGAGCTCTGCAAGGGAGATGCCATGTTTCCCAGAGAGCAGCACATCCAGAACTGCCCGCAGAGCATCAAGCATGCCAGTCCTTGGGGCCTGATCAAAGTCCAGTCATGACCATCAACAGGGTGGCAAAAGATTTATAGCAATAGTGTGTTAGTAATTGGAGGAGGGGGAAGGAAAAGGAGAATGAGCAGTCCTCTCTTTCTGCCAGAATGCACACTGATGGGAGAATGACCCTGTATGACTGTAGATCGTAGCTAGTCTCCATTTAGCTGTAGCCCGTGTAGCCTGTACTGTCACTAATGCCTTCATCAGGTGGGTGGGAGCTGGGGGAAGGGAGGAAAGAGATGTTCATTTGGGTCTGATGACCAGAGTGGGAAATAGAGAGCATCTTTCTAATACCCTCTCAGTCCTCTTCCCTCCCTATGGAGGTCCTAGCTGTGGAGAAGAGAGCTCATCTGTTGCAGTGGTCACCTCCACCCATCCCTGCTCCCATTTTTCTTTCCCTGGTGCATGGCCTTTGCAGTCCTGCTGAGCAGGCAGCTCTCGTGTCAGCAGGGACTGCTTTGGCAAAAGGATGAACATCTGAATATTTCGAAGCTAAGGAGAGAAGCATGGGGGAATACCTCAGAGAGTACAGACTGTAAAGGGTTAACACGTTGTGGGGGTTTGCTGACCAGGCAGTGGTGTGGGAGCATTCCACAGAAATCAGCCCTCCCAGTATGGTGTGGCCAGCTAAAGAACCCATGCGTCTCTGGAGTCCACTGAGGCCAGTGGGTGCTTTCTCAGATGGCTCCAAGAAAGGGTCAGTGAAAGCCCAAGCCTTTGCAGCCTTTGAAACAAACTAGTTGGCAGAGCTGGGGAAACCATAGCATAAACAGGCCAAAAGAGACAATCTTGTCGTATCGTGATCCTGACATAGAAACTATCAGCAGAGAAAAATAATGGCCGTAGGGACCAAGCACAGGAGGGCATGTTTGGAGCCATGTGCGTGTCTCCAAAGCAAGCCATGAATTTCCATAAATTCTCAGGCATTCAGGGGCCATAGTTCAGCTGTACTCGTTACTCTGCAGTGATGTGTGCCTGACTACTTGGAGCATGCCTCTCTCTTCCCTGAAAGCTGGCTGAGCTTCGGGCATCGGCACCTGATAGCACCCATGACCCTGGCCGGCAAACACAACTTACGGCTCTCCTTGCTTCCCGCGCTGGTGGTATCCAGTCAGATTTTCCAAAGAGCTCATTCTCCAGTTGGTGAGTGCAGAAGGGGGTGGCTCTGCAGGGTGGATGCTCAGGCAGGCCAAGCTTCTCTTGCTGCTCAAGGTCGATGTCCATCCCTGCCAGGTCTGCAGGCACTGAAGGCTTGGACCACATTGGGTGCCAAGCCTGAGGGGGTTTCAGGCCAAGGGAACAGGAAGGGCAAGACAGGGTGAAGGCAGAAGGCCAACACCATATTAATTGTTTCTTGCTATTTCATAGGTACCAGGCAAGGGGTGGCATTGTATCTTATTTTGACCATGTGGTTAAAAGGGAATAAAATCGAATTCAGAGGTGATGATGGTGTCTTCCAAAAGGGGTAGTAGGGTTGTACCTGGAAACAGCCTCTTAGGGAAAAGAGAAATGCCAAGAATTATTTCTGCTACAGCTACTAACATTGCTTGGTGGGTTCTTCTGGATAGCAACAGTTTCTGTTTGCTGAGATTGATTAAATAAAAAAATAAAAACCAGTCTACTTCTTCCCCCAAAAAAGCATGAAGAAAAGAAACCAGCTTTCTTAAAGAAAAAAGAGACACACAGGGGAAAAGAGAGAGAAATGGCTTTATTGCTTGATCTGTTTCTGTACTTTTTGTTCATTAATTTTAATTTAGATTGATTTATTCCAAAATGAGCCCTGGCTTGCATATATTTGCATAACCCTCTCCAATAGCAATGCTGTGGAGAATCCAGCGAGTGAGGAAGAGCAGCAGCAGAGAGCAGGAACTGAGACTGGAAGTCCCAGAAAGAGATTCCTCTGAGCTGGGCCCTTGTACTGGGATAGGAGAGGCATTTCAAGGTTTCCTTAGTCACAGATGTGGCTTTGCATGCATGCAGAACAG